AAGATTTGACCGAAGAGATTGATGAAGAAGGCCAAAGAATATAGCCGGAGAAGAAAGTCTATTTGATGGGTTTTTAATTAAAAAAAAAGGTACTGTACATATTAGGAGTTGGACAAGTATTGGGTCCGACAATTTATTTTTTGCATAGGGAGAACTAGCAAATAAGCCCCTGTACTTTCATAAAAAATGTAAATAAGCCCTTTTATAGGAGATTTATTTGCACTTTTTATGAAAGTTCGAGGGCGTATTTGATAGTTCTCCTTTTTTCATAATCTCAACTTGCAATCACCTCATCAATTAAGTTAATAAAAAAGTTTCATAGACTAAGTCAATTTATATTGGTCAGCAATTCAAAAAGTATCACTATGAAGTACTCCGTAATTAATTAAATGTACTGATGTTACTGTAATATAATTCAGGAACTGAACCGTAAGAAAAATTCCCTAAATTGTGATACTATCGGTAACATCATGATAACCATAGAAGAAAACCCAAAAAAGTGAGACTTTACCCTTCGGATCTAAAAATAAGTTTTGAAAATCGGAGGGGAGAAGGATAGTGAAGTTTATGATTCTCCTTTTTTTTGCTTGAGATACAAAAATTGAAACGATTAACTTTTGAGGTAGGGTCTTGTAACACTACAAAACCCTTCAAATGTTCAATTGATATTTTTTGAAGGGTAACTAATTAAACGACAAATTAACTTTGCTCAAAATGATGAATAAATATTCAACTATTTTAATTTTTCATAGATTTTAAATGATTTTAATTATAATTTCTCCATATATTTCTCTTTCTAAGTTTGTAACTCCATCAAAATAAGAACCGTACGTGTCCTAGTATATATGTCTCAAATTCTTTCCATGCATGGTGACTTAGCTCCCACAATTCTATGATATTACACAAGTTCCATTCAAAAAGCTAGCAATTCGTTTCTAAATCTAAGAATAGCAACAATTAATTTATAAATACTAACCCAATGAATAGACAAATAGTTAGGAAAAAGGCAATATCGGAGACGTTAAGATTTAAATAAGCTTTTCCTTGTTGTTCTAGACTTTTAGTGCATTACTACCACAAATAAGCTTGTTCTTATCCATCAGAGAATCACTACAAAAAAATTTGTCTGTAGTCACGGACTTAGTCACGGACCGATCCATTTGCAGCGGAAAAAAACGCAAGTCAACTTTTTTTCAGTAAAAGGCATTTTCAATTCGAGAATCTCATGCAAGACACCAAAAAAAATGGTTTCCGAGTTATCAAAACCGATGGTACACAATCCGTTGTTCACTGTTGGCCGGCCCTGTCCGTAACCGACTGTGTGATAGGTGTAACTGTTTATCACATATGACCGCCAAACTTTGGCGTAGGCACCAGGGTCTCACGATAATGATACTAACAAAGGGTCCACAATCCCACGGTTATTGATCTGTAAATTAAAACACGATAACATTGGGTAATTATTAAAAATTATTACTTAATAATATATATAATTAATGTGTGTGTATGTATATATACCTGATACTTGTATCACAGTATAAAATGACAGTCCACCAATGCATCAATTTCATTGTCAGGGAATGCTGAGTGCTCCTCTCTAAATTCACTATGAAGTCAAACATGAAAATATTATAAATCAACTACCTTAATTGTATATATATATTACAAATATAACTACAAATTTAACTTAGAGATAAAATGGTAAGATTTCTGGACAATTAATGAGCATATAAGTATGCGCAATTTGTAATTCTTTTCCCACGATGTATCGGTTTGTCCCAGCTCCTTTACCTCTACATGGGTAATTGAAAATGGAAACTACATTTTCGTATAAATCCTCACCAATGTCATCGTTTCGGGCAGGTCTCTTTCTTCTAGTGATGACTTTACGCTCAAAATAAAAAGATGAGAACGTTGAGATTTCTTGTTGAAGATACGCTTGACAAATTGAAGCCTCAACGTGTGGTAGTCCCAACTTAGACATTAATTTCTGCATCACGGAATTAGTCACAGACTTATCCGTGACTAAGTTTAGTCACGGAATTAGTCACAGATTCGTCCGTGACTAATTTCAAATTAAAAAAAAAACGCCGGAGGCAAAATTGGGTTGGCCGGAATAGGTTAGTCACGGATATAATCCGTGACTAACCGTAGTCACGAACGTAGTCACGGACGTATCCGTGACTATTTTTTTAAACAATCCGTGACTAGCTAGCCCATGACTAGAACCGTGACTAACTAGTCACGGACCAAATCCGTGACTACGGTTCGTGACTACAAGCGATTTCTTCTAGTGATGACTTCACGCTCAAAATAAAAAGATGAGAACGTTGAGATTTCTTGTTGAAGATACGCTTGACAAATTAAAGCCTCAACGTGTGGTAGCCCCAACTTAGACATTAATTTCTGCATCACGGAATTAGTCACAGACTTATCCGTGACTAAGTTTAGTCACGGAATTAGTCACAGATTCGTCCGTGACTAATTTCAAATTTAAAAAAAAAACCGCCGGAGGTAAAATTGGGTTGGCCGGAATAGGTTAGTCACGGATATAATCCGTGACTAACCGTATTCACGGACGTAGTCACGGACGTATATGTGACTATTTTTTTAAACAATCCGTGACTAGCTAGCCCATGACTAGAACCGTGACTAACTAGTCACGGACCAAATCCGTGACTACGGTCCGTGACTACAAGCGATTTTTTTTGTAGTGAATATAATGCGGTTAAACGTATTTTACACATAACTAAATAATACTCCCTCCATCCCACAAAATTTGGTCAAAGTTGATTTGAACGTAGATTAATAAAATAAAAACTGTGTGCTTGAAATTTGTGCCGAGAAGAGAGAAATGACTTTAGCCACATATTCTTTACTTTAAATGGAAATGGAAAAGTTTTTTGGGACGATCAAAAAAGGAAATTTGGCCAAGTTTTATGGGACGGAGGGAGTATAACATCCATATCGTTGATGAAAAAGTCTACCCGTCAAAGTCGAAGTGACACATAATTCATGCAACCTAGAAATAACAACAATATTATTAGTAGCATTATAAAAACCAATAGCAAATACATTATCAATCAAATTACATTCTATTAAAATCCGTTCCATGATAATATAAATATTATCAACGGTGTGTTTTTCATTAAAATCTCTAAAAGCGATAACACAATTAATAGCCAAATACTACGTAATACAATTGATTATATGTATATTTCCATATTTCATTACAAACAGTCACAAGTCCGATTTAAGTTTAAATTCTGATTAAAACACATGTGGGAATAGTGATTAAATATGTTTTTTGTTTAAATATTTTTCGTTATGTAAATCTCGTGTAACTCACATTGATCGATATAAATGTAATCTTAATTAGCGTCAAATGTAACTTATGTACTAAAGTATAACTCGCCTGACACTCTCTAGTGGTCATTCTCTCATATTTTAAGTTATATATGAAATGTAAATCGCGTGTATGCAAAATATAATCCAGACAAGTCGAAATGTAAACCACGTGTAAGCAAAATGTAACATTGTGTGGTAAGTGAAATGTAAATCACGTTACTTGAAATGTAATTTGAGACAAGTTGAAATATAAATGACGTTAATGAAAATGTAACTTGAGACAAGTCAAAATTTAAATGGTGTTTATAAAAATGTAAGTTAAAACAAGTTGAAATGTAAACCACGTTAGGTGGAAATGTAAGTTGTGCAATACAAAATACGAAGTGTATATATAGTTCGATGAAATGTTGCAGGTCTTCAAATAAAACATAAATTTTTATTTTAGGTTAATAAACTTCAATTTTGAATTGATGATGGAGGATGAAAATCCTAGATTTATTTTGAAGATGAAGAAAAACGAAAATGTGGTTAGATTATTAATATTTTGATGATCAAGAAGCAGAAGATATTGGTGAAGAAAAGAAAAAAGAAAAAAAATCAAAATTTTAAAGATGAAAAAAAGAAATTACGATTAGATTTTCAATATTGTGATGAAAAACTATTAAGAACTTGCGATCATCTCATCAAGTACGGTTAATAAAAAAGTACGAGTACATTTTTCATATTCATGTGACCAAGTCAAATATTATTGGTCAGCAATTCCAAAAGTATCACTATAAAGCAGGAGTAATTAATTAAATGTACTGTCATTCCTTTGCTAAACTGTATGGAAAATTCCCGAAATTGCGGTAACATCATGATTTCCCTAGAAAAAACCCAAAAAATGAGACTTTACCCTTAGGATGTGTTTGGAAATATGTTTTGGAAATTTGGAAATTGAAGGGGAGGAGAAGGATGATGGTTTATGATTTTTCCTATTTTGTTTCGGAGTACGAAAATTGGAATGATTAACTTTGGAGCTGAAGGTACCAGAGTTTTTGTAACACTCCAAAATCCTTCAAATGTTCAGTTTCTAATTTCTTCTAATTGAGATTTTTTGAAGAGAAAAAAACCAAATGATCAATTTAGCATTATATATTCAAACTTGCAAATATACCAGTCATTGGTCCACTACCAAAACTTTACAAAAAAAAGTGGTGGCGTAAAATTTTTGCTAGCTAAAAGATTATATAAAGTGGTGCCGTAAATTTTTTCCTAGCTAAAGCCTAAAAGACTATATATACATACATAAAGTGGTCCGTAAATTTGTGTGCCAACTAAAATTAAAGGGCGACAACTCCGATACCCATATAAAAAATGAGATACCGTACCTATTACGCACTTGATTGGTTCAAATCATTACATCATTTTTAATTTACATTTAATAATTCAACTACATCATTCTGATTGGTCTATGTGGATAAATGTATGATACGTTAAGGGTATCTAAGGGTATCATAGAATCTACCGAATTAAAGACCAAATAAAGTGAGGTAGCCTGGTGTTCGTCACAACAGGCGTAATCACAAGCTTATTGTTATGCATATAAACCCACCCATATTAGATGTATATATAGAAAGATATACGGATTAATAATATACATACCCCATTATATTTGAAGTGATTTATTCATATATTAAATAATTGAGGGGCGGGCAGGCAGCACAGAAAGATGAGGACACTATTTGTTTTTATGATTGGAGTGAGCATGCTGATGTGGCTTATGAATGTGCCAGCCGGAGGGCGGTGGCCGGGGGTGGATGCTGCTGAAGCAGTGGTGGCGGTACATGCGGCCGCCAAGGTGGGTGATCAGCCGCCACCTCCTGGCACGCCCTGGGAATATACGTTTGCACCGACGCAGGAGCCGCCGCCGCCGCCGCCGCATCGTGATCATCATATGAAGTATATATTAATAAGTGTCTTAGTTGTTGTCATTATCGGCCTAATCGTAGCTATTGTGTGTGCCGTAAAAACCTGCAAGAAGAAGAGAGATAGCCCCAAGAAGTAATATATACTACGTATATATATTCAATAATTCTCTGATCAAATTAATTAATCACATAAATACCGGTCCGACCGGCCGGCTATATTTTATTGTTTTTGCTCCCGACCGACTCCGGCCCGGCCCTATACATTTGCATCACACACATGTATGTGTCTTCACTTCAGTTTTCAATATATATTATCTACTTTCTATTAATGTATCCAACACGTTAATTAATTAATTATTTAATTGGTCAGTAGTATGGTATTCAGTGTTTTCCCAAATGACGTCTTACATTTATACTATCGTATATGTTTGTACTCTCCAATACATGCAATATCAATTATTATTAAGAAAATTCTAGCGTACCTCTAATAATTTTGAGTGTAGGGTACATCTGCCGAGTTGGACAAACAACAATGTTACACGTAGATGTTTTACACTTGATTCGTTTATTGACGTGGCACCAAATTTAATTTAGGTATTACTCCCTAATATATTTGCTTTGAAGCCCCTCTGATCACCTCTCCATTTTAGACGATTCCCAATGAAAACCGTAGGTCTCCATGGAATTCCATGGATGTTGCTTCTCACAAAACAAACTATTTACATAAAATGATAACTTCTCATCAGGAATGTTTTCAAATTCAAGCATAAAGCTTCATCTTATATCTTACTAGTATATTTTTATTAACACTAAATTTCCACATTTATGATTGTCTAAGAATTCTGAATCTCAGCCAGTCATTATTGTTATAAAAGAAAACAAAATCCAACCCATGAATCATCTGTATAGAGCATACCAATAAGGCAATAACCAAGAATTGCATGCAGAATTTTACTAAAAAGAACAAGAAAGCCTTATGCTCTGTTCTAAATATACTCTGTGAGAAAAATAATTAATTTGAGAAAACGACGAAGATGAATAAGGTTGACTATATAAAATACTTCGTATAGTGTAATTCGGATTTCATGAATACACGGGTCGGTTATTATGATCATCTGCCTTGAGAATTCTGAGTTTGTAGTGAAAGAGTCTTAACTCAAGCTAAATTGAGCACCGCTCTACGAACTTCCTATTTGAAAAAGCCGGTCATAACCCAGAGACGGTTGGTGGACTAAAATGCAAATAAATAAATTATTAAATTGAATCAGATACATGATCATTATTTTATTATGGGTTTTAAATATCCACGTGTAGTAGTTTTAGCGGGCCATCTGTCCAAAGGTACGGTACACTTTTAAATAATACTGGCACCGTAGAAAGACCACGTATGTGGTGCTTTCTAGTCTAAATAAAACATATAGGTCAAAAGTCAAATAACTAAAAGGATTTTCAAATATGACGAAATTCTTTTGAAGACGTACGGTTATTCAAGCTATGTGAAATTATGCGATAAATGTTTTTCTGTTGCCTATGGAGCTGTGCACGGAGTTGAAAATTCAGATGAATGGATACCGGTGGATGGGTGTTTCCGGTAAAGGTATTCAGTGGCGGAGTTGAGAATTTTTGTGTAAGCCAAAAGTTGCTCGGGTGGTACACGATCTCAGCGAATTCAGGATTTTAATTTGGCTATGCTAGGAAAACGACAGACTTTGAGGCTCGTAACAGAGTCGGAGTCTTTAGTGAGTTGTTTTTAAAGCTCAATATTATTCTAAGGGTATTGTTGGGATAATGGGCTGGGTCCTGGACTATCGGCCCATTATCCCGAAGTTTAGGCCTAGTTAAGCCCGGGGCGCGGTCTCACGAGTGGGGATCGTCCCTCGCCAGGGCCGTCTAGAGCAATTATGAGGTCCTAGACGCTTTTATAAACATTTTGTTTAAATACGTTTTTTTCAATATAATAATATAAATAAATAGAATATTAATTAAATTGAAATAAATTACATATGAAATGCATCATATACTATTAACGTAATGAGAATATTCTTTCTCATAGAGTCGGTAAGCGATTTTATGATCAAATCCTTTTTTTAATTTGTTCTTTCTCTTTATACATCCTGATGTTTTCGTTTTTATCTCATCATATCACAAAATCTATAATATAATTGAAAATAGTACTAAATAAGTTCATGGTTGATAAATACAAATTTAATCCACAAATTTTAATCGCATATAGAAGTTTATAAGTATTCTGAGCCTGTTTGGTTACCTGTTTTCAACTTATCAATCAATTTTATCACCAAATACGTAACTTTTGATTTTGTGCGTTGATTTGTCTAATAATTAAAATAAATAAGGTAGAAGTTAATTTTCTGGCTGGGTTGACTAAATTTATTATAGGAACCATTTAGCTATTTCTTCATATAATTTTATTTATGTTATTAAAAAAATATATGTTACATATAATTTTCTCGTAATTCAGCAAAATCGGTCAAGGCAATTACTTTAACAAAAAAATCCTAAATTTCAGTAATAGCAGTCGATTCAAACTATTTCAGTATCGGATCCGGATCTCAGTATATCAAAATCACAAATTATATAAGTATATCAAAATACTTATAATATGCGTTATATACCCCAATCCCTAATGCCCTAGTGGTACCGACCAACAATTAAAAAAAAAAACTTAAACATGTATGTAGTAATTACTGAATTTAAGAGCAATCTGTCAAAGAAAAAAATAATGAAATAGAAAACAAGTAATTTGAAAATTCCTTCAAATCAACCAAATCAATTACTCAATTAGTAAATTTAGTACGGAGTAAGTCATAAAGCATGTGGTGGCATGTTGACCTGTTTGCCGATGGGGTCTGGGCATTGCGGAAGGGGAATGGGTCTCAGGCTCTCGGCTTCGAACTTCTACCATCGTAGTATAATATCCTAAGATTTTAGAAATTGGAGGGCCTTACAATTTGGAGGCCCTAGACACTTGTCTAGGTATCCTGCCCCTATAGCCGGCCCTGTCCCTCGCTCATTTACTTATTTATCGGGTCGGTTTGCCCATTAGCGGAAGATGTATTAGCAGTTTGGGCCAAGCCCACGTAGGTTAGCCTTTATGCTTGATGAATGCCTATAAACAGGCCATCAATCATCATGTATTGACTACGTTACTTTTACTGTATCGAAGTGCTGCCGTTTTCTCTCTCAAGCTATTTTCTACCAACATTGGTAGAAAATAAACATCACAAATCCATCAAAATAACACAAAATATTCAATCATTCAACATTACAAGATTTATAGAGTATTACACATGAAATAAAAAATAAATAATAAAAATGAAGAAAGATGAAAAAAAGGGAGAAAGAGGCATAATGAGAGGGGAATGTGCAGACAAGAGTGGCAGTGAAGGAAGAGGCGTGTTGTAGGGGCATGTAACTCAACTCCATTGAAGAGGCTTGCAAATGGTGTCCCAAGTAAATTACATATTTATTTCTGTGTTTTTAATTAGTTTTGATTGATTATTACTTTGGAAATTACACACTTTTGGTGTAATAGTTTAAGTTGTAAAAATGTTTGTAATTTGTTTAGATTAGGTTTATACTGAGCTCAAACAGGTCCAAGATCACTCTAGGGACCATTGGTGAACATCACAAATGGAAGGAAGGTGCAAAAAATCTCAAGATTCTGATTTTTGGTGTTGTACCCGTCGGGTATGACCTATACCCGATCGGTACCTTGTTGAAAAATCAAATCGGATCGGATCCGGGACAAGGCAACGTGCAGGGGAGATTTTGGCACGATCGGCCGACATACCCGATCGGGTATAACCTAGTTTTTTTATATTTCCGCGAAGCAACCAAGTACCCGATCGAGTGCCCTTACAGCCCGATCGGGTACACGACCCTGCAAGCCTAAAAAGCCTATAAATACCCCCCTTTCCTTCCCACAAAAAGAACCAATTCCTTTGTACATCTAAGCTCAGTATAGAATAGCTCTTTCTTTATATTTTTCATCATGTTTAGTCTCCAAATGAGGAGCTAAACTCTTCCATCTTGGTTTTGCTACTTTGAAGCTTAATGAATTTGTAAGTTGTGAGTTATTCTCTTTAAATTTCTTCCTTGAATATTAATTCTTCCTTTAAATACTATTTCTATATCAATGTTGGGGAGTGTTACTAAGATGAAAATTAGTTAACATCTTGACATTAGTTATAGTAATAGTTATTTCTTCCTCTATGTTAATATTGGGGAGTGTTACTAAGATGACAATTAGTTAACATCTTGATATTAACTATAGTAGGATTCATACTCTTTAATATTCTTCCTTGAGTATTAATTAATTCCTATTCATATTTCATATTAATATTTTGAACATTACTTAAAGGATCAACTAGTTTTGTTTCATATATTAATTATTACTAGAATCAATCGATTAATACGCTTGTTATTAATTCGGTTCCTTCAGCGGTAGTAAACTTGGATTGTTAATGCATGCGTCTCATGATTAATAATCTAAGGGGAATTGATTATATTGATTAAACCAATAAACCGCTTGTGTTGAGGTTATCAATCTCAATCGTTTTCATCTCAAGTTTATTGCTACTATCGTGTTAATATACGACACGTGTTCTATATTGACTCGGTAGTAAGTTTTATTAATGAACGCGTCTCGTTATTAATAACTACCCTCGATGAACTGGATATACTCCTCGATTGAGTATTCGAGAGGAAGATAGTTAAAGATATAACTGGGATCGACGAACATTTCATTAAGTGGATAAAAGCAAAACCAAGTGCTCATCTCATTAAATTAAACTCATATAGGTTGTTCATCTTAGTATATTTAAATCAAACAAATCTAAACCCCCCTTGTTACTATTGATATAAGAGAAAAGTATTCCTTTCCCTGTGGATACGAACCTTACTTCACTATACTACGTATTAGTGTTGTATTGATAAATTATTTTGAGTGCACCTCACGACAAGTGCACGTCAAATTTGGCGCCGTTGCCGGGGAAGGACAATTATTTTTTTCTTTTATTGTATTTCAAGAAAACAAATATATATATATATATATATATATATATATATATATATATATATATATATATATAAAGAATTCTTACTTTCTCTATTTCTGAGCTTGGTGAAGTATATGGTTAAACACCGTTCTATAAACGAGATCACCTATTAAACAAACCCAGAAATAGAACAAACTTTCGAGCGGTTGAAAAGTAAATTTTCTAATACCGACTCGGAGGAATCGTCTATCAGAGATTCATCCAGCGCTAGTTCTCATTCTAGCGAGACCGAAGAGTCAATAACCATGGCTCTTGAGACAAGAACACTACGGGAGCTCACTGCTCCAAATCTCAATCAACAACCATTATATATTACCTTCCCTACACTCGATGAAGGTAATACATTTGAGCTAAAATCTGG